CACTCAAGTTGAATAACATAGCGTCTGTTTTGAGTTGGACCTTAATAACATACCGTGTCTCCTGATTCCTTTCTTTCACTTCCTGACTACCCCACCAGTGCCTCGTCTCAAACAATTTCCTCCTTCAATTTACTTTTCGATTTCTTCTTCGATTTCCCGTGGGGATTTCTAATTTCCTTTTAGTCTCCTTTTGGAATCATCTTATGGGGATTTCTACCTGGGGAATTGTTATCTGTCCCTTTCTCTCGAAATCTTGCTGAGAAAGTTAATCCGTCCTAAATTGTTTCAAGTGGTGCAAGCAGCCTCGATTTCTTCTACAAGATCAATCCTTGGTCCAATCAATGTCCTAGAGCCCTCAATTTATGGAGAAATTAAGCAGAGGAAGCTTCCCCTAGACTCAAATGGATGGTGAACTCAGGTAAATAATGTGATTAATCCTAGTGTTTGGGTGATATGTGCGATTGAAGTTATTGTTGAAGTTTCTCAAAATGAATTGGTAGATAATAGGTAATAAATTTTTGGGTTTTGATTAGACGAGATTTGGAAGATAAGTGTCTCTTTAAACTATGCATACAATATGTTTGTAGAATTGCCTAAATGGGTTTTGCTAAGGCATTTTCTCTTGACACATATCGGATTAGGCTTTTTCTAGAAGGATTCTCTCTTTATTTTTTTGGTAAAAAAAAAGTTTCACTTGGAATTATATAAATTATAAAATATTGATCATTTTTTGAAAATTTATTGATTACGATTACCCATATTTATCTTCACACAAAGTCTAGGTAATTAGCTATTTACTTTCATTTTTCTGGTATATTAGATTGTTAGTATGCTTAGCTGATGCTAATCAGTTAGTGGTTGCCAACATGCTATGTATTTCTAATGGTCTTGACAATCCATGGAATTGCTGACCAAGTAAATCCTAATTGAAGATACATTTGAGTTTGCTAAGATCATACCTAATCATAAATTATAGATTGTGGAGGGAGCATATCACTATTACACAAGGCATCAAATTGAATTAGTGTCAGTTGCTGTAAAATTTCTAAAAAGAACCCTATAATTAAGAAGACAAGGGTTCTGCAAATCAGGTAGCTTTCTGTTGATTGGCATTTTTTTTTTCATTTTTTGTTTGTTAAATGGCAGATTCGCTGAACTTTGAGCATTTAACCTTGTTCCTGGTAATGAATCAATGTAATACAGGTGCCTGGTGGAATGCAACCGTGATGTTATGGATCTGAAACCACACTAATACAATCAAGATAAATCACTGTTGGAATATAGACACCACTGTTGTTTCTGGATCTAGAACACCATCCTTGAGCACCTGATAAATCATCATGAAACTGATTCAGCAACAAAAGCAAATACGTGAAGATTTACCAAGAAAAAAGGCAAATACATGAAGAATCAAATAAATAAATCAGTCAGCTACTTTCCACAACACACACAAAAAGAAAAAAAAAAGAAAAAAAAAAGGGTTTTCAATTCCTGATCTTCTATGGAATCCTCCCACTAGGTTTTTGGGAATATATTCTTCGTCCTCAATTATTGACAACAGTTATCTCGGATGTCTCTGGACAATCTAGCTCATAACGATCGACAAGGTGAAGTCAACATCCTTTCTGTATCTCTTTCGCCCTTTTGGGCCTCCCACGTTAAAAGACAAAGTGCCCGTTAAGAGTTGGACCTGAATTGTACAGCTGCAAGCCCAGTTGGATTTTTTGTAAATGGTGGGTGCTCTACCATAGTGAATAATAATTCATGTCTACTCCACCCCGAGTAGTTCATGCATTTTTTTCGCCGTTTTTTGAGCCTCTGACAATTTTTTTTTAACTGTTTTCGTTCAATCTTTCAAAAGCAAGGTGATGTGGCCGTGCGATGAGCGATTGTCCCTTCCAGATAATATCACGTGTTGCAATGCAAAATATCAATTATAATATAACGTGATAACTTAGTATTATACGATAACTCTATAAGGTTGAGGTTATTATCATTAATTTAATTATAATTTTATTAATTTATTTTTTAAAATAATTAGTTATGATATTTAAAAAATATTTGTTTATAATTTTTT